GCAGAAAGGAAAGTCTGTGAAAGTGTAACTGGTTGGATTCAGCATCTCTTCATCCTAGCTTTTATTTATTACTGGGTTCAAAGAGATAACCAGGTATATCAGTCTAACAACCGAGAAACCTAATTGGCCTGGCATGAATACTACACCCCACAGGGGACTCAGAGCAGATTACGATGCACATATGTATGGCAAACATTCAATGCCATAGACGCCAACATATATAGACAGATGCACAGAGGCTATTTAACATTCCAGCTTCATGAGGGTATGCTCGAATTCTGGCCCCCAGGGGAGCTGTCGCTTCACTTGGGACACCGATGGAGTACTTTCTCATTCTTTTACACACTGCTGGAGATTTTTTAGTTAAATTAGCCTCTTCGCATAAAACGATACCTAAATTTTCTACTGTCTTTTGGGCAAAGGGCGGCAGCAAGCTAGACAAATGGTTGGGAGCTTACTGTGGCCCGGGCTGTCTTCGAACTGGTGACCTTTTGGTCAGTAGTGGTTTTCATGCTGCTGACTCCCAAGCAGAGCAATACGTAAATTTCCTACTGTCTTTTGGGCTATAAAGGTCGACAGCAAGCTAGACAAATGGTTGGGAGCTTACTTGGGCTATCTTCGAACACATGATCTTTCGGTCAGTAATTTAATGCAGCTGACTCTCAACCAGAGTGGTAACTAAATTTCCTACTGCCTTTCGGGCTGCAGAGGTGAACAGCAAGCTAGACAAATGGTTGGGAGCTTACTCTGACCCAGGCGGTCTTCGAACTCATGTAGTGATTTTTATGCCGCTGACTCCCAACCAGAGCGGTACTTAAATTTCCTACTGTCTTTTAGGTTGCAAAGGTCGATAGCAAGCTAGACAAATGGTCGGGAGCTTACTCCGACCTGGGCTGTCTTCGAACTCATGTAGTGATTTTAATGCAGCTGGCTCCCAACCAAAGCGGTACCTAAATTTCCTACTGTCTTTCGGGTTGCAAAGGTCGACAGCAAGCTAGACAAATGGTTGGGAGCTTACTCCAACTCCAACATGAGTCTTCGAACTCATGACCTTTTGGTCAGTAGTGATTTTAATGCTGCTGACTCCCAACCAGAGCGGTACCTAAATTTCCTACTGTTTTTTGGACTGCAAAGGTCGACAGCAAGCTAGACAAATGGTCGGGAGCTTATTCCGACCTGGGCTGTCTTCGAACTCATGACCTTTTGTTCAGTGGTGGTTTTCATGCTGCTGACTCCCAACCAGAGCGGTACCTAAATTTCTAATTGTCTTTTGGGCTGGAAAGGTCGACAGCAAGCTAGACAAATGGTCGGGAGCTTACTCCGACCCAGGCTGGCTTCGAACTCATGAATTTAATGCATCTGACTCCCAACTAGCTGTGCCACAGCCCGGTCCAAATACAACTGTACCCTTGGTTTGCTTCTGATGCGATAAATACCCACAGTTGTCATGAATGCACACGATTAAGTCCTGGACACAGAGAGAAGGCATTGTAAACAAATGAGTTGCTGGCTGTCCCTCGTTTTGTCTCCTCTATTCGAATTCCCATCCATAGTCCTCAGATACCATCTCCATTCAACTTTGGTGGCTGCGTTTTCCCTCCTCGGACAGGAAGCGCCTTCCTCTTTGTAGGCTTCTTTCCTGTATGAACGGCCTAATGATCGCATTCCTGGGCTTAATTGGGATCCGAGGCATGACTGGTTCGCCATTTCGGCTCTAATTGGGGTTGCCCCTTGCAGAACGAGGCGCTCTTCCCATTGCCTTTGGACATAACGGGCCTCATGCCCATTCGGTCATCTCTTGCTCATCTCCGTCCTTTTGTCCCTCTCTGCTCCGTGTCTCATAGCGTTGGACGCCTCCATTGTGTGAAGCAGAAATTCGCCTGGCCCGCTGCCATGTGCTGAGCACGCCTGCTCTCCCCTCCCTGCTTGCAGTCTCAGAAACAGCCCTGGCTTACTTGTATCTTTCTATCCCAACCTGGGAGTTGGGACCGTTGGGGAGGTCACCAAAGACCATCAGAAAACACTATTTTCTGTTGGGTCATGGGGGTTTGGCCCGATTCTATCATTGGAGAGCAGGCGTACTCAGCACATGGCAGCGTGCTGTGCAGGCGAGGGAGAGCGTGCGAGGCTGGAGGGAGGCACGCATCAGCTATAAATCTCCAAAATTACAACTATTTTTCGTAAACTCCAGAAGCCGGCCTCTCAGCCAAGGGGAAGGCTGTTTCTGAGACTCCAAATGGGGAGGGGAGAGCAGGCATGCGGGCGAGGGAGAGCGTGCGAGGCTGGAGGGAGGCTCACATCAGCTATATATCCCCAAAACTACAACTATTTTTCGCCAAACTCCAAAAGCTGTCCTCTCAGCCACAGGGAGAGGTGTTTCTAAGACCAAACAGGGAGGGGAGATCAGGCGTGCGGGCGAGGAGAGCATGCGAGGCTGGAGGGAGGCTCGCATCAGTTCTAAATCCCCAAAACTACAACTATTTTCCGCAAACTCCAAAAGCCGTCCTCTGCTGTGATTGGCCGGCCTCTCAGCCGAGGGAAGGCTGTTTCTGTTGTGATTGGCCAACGTCTCAGCCAAGGGGAGAGCTGTTTCTGAGACTCAAACGAGGAGGGGAGAGCAGGCGTGCGGGCGAGGGAAAGCGTGCGAGGCTGGAGGGAGGCTCGTGTCAGCTATAAATCCCCAAAACTACAACTATTTTTCGTAAACTCCAAAAGCCGTACTCTGTTGTGATTGGCCAACGTCTCAGCCAAGGGGAGAGCTGTTTCTGAGACTCCAAACGAGGAGGGGAGAGCAGGCGTGCGGGCGAGGGAAAGCGTGCGAGGCTGGAGGGAGGCTCGTGTCAGCTATAAATCCCCAAAACTACAACTATTTTTCGTAAACTCCAAAAGCCGTACTCTGTTGTGATTGGCCAACGTCTCAGCCAAGGGGAGAGCTGTTTCTGAGACTCCAAACTGGGAGGGGAGAGCAGGCGTGCGGGCGAGGCTGGAGGGAAGCTTGCATCAGCTATAAATCCCCAAAACTACAACTATTTTCCGCAAACTCCAAAAGCTGTCCTCTGCTGTGATTGGCTAACGTCTCAGCCAAAGGGAAGGCTGTTTCTGAGACTCCAAACGAGGAGGGGAGAGCAGGCGTGCGGGCGAGGGAGAGTATGCGAGGATGGAAGGAGGCTCACGTCAGCTATAAATCCCCAAAACTACAACTATTTTCCGCAAACTCCAAAAGCCGTCCTCTCAGGCAAGGGGAGGGCTGTTTCTGAGACTCCAAATGGGGAGGGGAGAGCAGGCGTGCGGGCGAGGGAAAGCGTGTGAGGCTGGAGGGAGGCTCGCATCAGCTATAAATCCCCAAAACTACAACTATTTTTCGTAAACTCCAAAAGCCGTGTTCTGTTGTGATTGGCCAACGTCTCAGCCAAGGGGAGAGCTGTTTCTGAGACTCCAAACGGGGAGGGGAGAGCAGGCGTGCGGGCGAGGGAAAGCGTGTGAGGCTGGAGGGAGGCTCGCATCAGCTATAAATCCCCAAAACTACAACTATTTTCCGCAAACTCCAAAAGCCGTCCTCTGCTGTGATTGGCCGGCCTCTCAGCCAAGGGGAGGGCTGTTTCTGAGACTCCAAATGGGGAGGGGAGAGCAGGCGTGCGGGCGAGGGAGAGCATGCGAGGCTGGAGGGAGGCTCGCATCAGCTATAAATCCCCAAAACTACAACTATTTTCCGCAAACTCCAAAAGCCGTCCTCTGCTGTGATTGGCCGGCCTCTCAGCCAAGGGGAGGGCTGTTTCTAAGACTCCAAACGGGGGAGGGGAGAGCAGGCGTGCTCAGCACATGGCAGCGTGTTGCGCATGTGCAGACGAGGGAGAGGGCATGAGGCTGGAGGGAGGCTTGTGGCAGGGAGTTTCTTCAAGGCATGGGGGTTCTGTGTGGGAAATCTGGCCCAGTTCTATCATTGGTGGGGTTCGGATTGCTCTTTGATTGTAGGTGAGCTATAAATCCCCAAAACTACAAGTATTTTCTGTAAACTCCAAAAGCCCTCCTCTGCTGTGATTGGCCGGCCTCCTCTGCCAAAGGGAGAGCTGTTTCTGAGACTCCAAGAAGATAACGGAGAGCAGGAGTGCTCAGCACATGGCAGTGCGCTGCACATGTGTGAGCGAGTGTACAATACTCACATCAACACAATCCCCATAAACATCTTGCATTCTCTGATGAATCTCCTTTGGGGTGACACCTTCTGCTGTCAAGAATTTCAATGACTGCACATTGCTTAAGTCGCATTGACCGACCGTCTGCGCAGGGTTCCATACTTTTCACTTTAACAACACAACCGTTCAATGCTAAGGCTTCCCGCCAAAATGGAACTGTAGAGGAGAGTCTACTGAACAAGCCAGTACCTGCTGCATACCAGTACTGCCATCTGTTGAGGAGTTACGAAGGTGGAGGCATTATTTTTCACTTTAACAACACAACCGTTCAATGCTAAGGCTTCCCGCCAAAATGGAACTGTAGAGGAGAGTCTACTGAACAAGCCAGTACCTGCCACATACCAGTACTGCCATCTGTTGAGGAGTTACGAAGGTGGAGGCATTACTTTTCACTTTAACAACACAACCGTTCAATGCTAAGGCTTCCCGCCAAAATGGAACTGTAGAGGAGAGTCTACTGAACAAGCCAGTACCTGCCACATACCAGTACTGCCATCTGTTGAGGAGTTACAAAAGTGGAGCCATTACTTTTTCTGCTAAGGCTTCCTGCCAAAATGGAACTGTAGAGGAGAGTCTACTGAACAAGCCAGTACCTGCCGCATACCAGTACTGTCACCTGTTGAGGAGTTATGAAAGTGGAGGCATTACTTTTTCTGCTGAGGCTTCCCGCCAAAATGGAACTGTAGAGGAGAGTCTTCTGAACAAGCCAGTACCATTACTTTTCATTCTACGAATGAATAAATATTTTGCCTGCTTGCATTCATGCTCTATCATTGATTAATTCCTTTTCTTTGAATCCCTATTTAGGTCTCTTCCGGGCCGCTGTTCCATCTGGGGCTTCGACCGGGATATATGAAGCCCTGGAGCTCCGTGACAATGACAAGACTCGCTTCCTGGGGAAAGGTAAAGAAGGCCTTCCGGACGGGGAGATCGGACTGTTCTCTTTTTCCTTGGCATCTGTCTTGGCTGGCGGTTGGCTGCTCTTCCTGCAAATTCCCCTTCCTCTGCTTTTGTGACTCAATTCCCCCAAAGTATCCTGTTTCCCCAAAAATAAGACATCCCCTGAAAATAAGACCTAGTCCAGGTTTTGCTGAATTGCTAAATAAGGCCTCCCCTGAAAGTAAGACCTAGCAAAGTTTTTGGAGCTCCCCCTGGTGGCTTGAAGCTGCAACATCACCCCTGTGGTCTCCCATGCTATTGTGCATGGGTGGGAATCCGCTCCTGGTTTTAGTCCAAACTTTAAAGTCTGGATTTAGTCCAAACTTTAAGAAGAAATCCAGACTTTAAAGTTGACCATAACATAGCAGTCGGTAGGAATGTGGGAATGTGTTTTGCTCTCCTAGGCATTATTTTCGTGCCATTTAAAGAGTCTTTAATGTTGAATTTGTGCATGCATTTTTCAATATTTTTTTTTTACCAATTGATATATTGCTGCTTCCACCTCTGTCCTCCATTCTGTGCATGCATGTAATGCATTTGCTTTTGAATCACATGCAAGCGATAGGGTGAGTTTGGGCAAAATGCAGCCTATGGGGTGCATGTGACTCCTCACCCCCCACTTTTGCAACTTGGCAAAACCCCTAAAGCCCCCTATATATCTATTTTTTTTAAAAAAAATATGCAATTTATTACTTATATTTATTTATTCACAGTAATAATATATCTAATTTTAAAATGGTGCAATTAATTTTATTTATTTTTTTACAATAATAATAACAGCTCGGGGCAGCTAACATGAGGCCAAGCCCAACAATTACAATAAAGCAATTCTGGCCACGGAGGAGGCTGTCATTCTATCCACCATGTTGAGGAGCCCTATTTACACACGTCCTCCTTTGAGGCATCGGCAGTATTTTTCTGGTATTTCCTTATGATGCCATTAAAATACATCCCCGCCTAAGCAGTACCTGTTTATCTACTCACAGCTGTGTTCAATCTGCTAGGTGGGCAGTGAGCTGGGCTGAAGATCAGGCACTCTCTCAGGCTGTCTCTTTCACACTGAGGCGAACTAATACTGAGGGCTACCTCACACTGAGGCGAACTAACACTAAGGGCTACCTCACACTGAGGCCTTTCTCTCACTGAGAGCTCTCTCAAACTGATGCCTCTCACACTGAGGTGAACTAACACTGAGGGCTACCTCACACTGAGGCCTTTCTCTCACTGAGGCCTTCACACTGAGAGCTCTCTCAAACCGATGCCTCTCTCACACTGAGGCGAGCTAACACTGAGGGCTACCTCACACTGAGGCCTTCACGCTGAGAACTCTCTCAAACTGATGCCTCTCTCACACTGAGGTGAACTAACACTGAGGGCTACCTCACACTGAGGCCTTTCTCTCACTGAGGCCTTCACACTGAGAGCTCTCTCAAACCGATGCCTCTCTCACACTGAGGCGAGCTAACACTGAGGGCTACCTCACACTGAGGCCTTCACGCTGAGAACTCTCTCAAACTGATGCCTCTCTCACACTGAGGTGAACTAACACTGAGGGCTACCTCACACTGAGGCCTTTCTCTCACTGAGGCCTTCACACTGAGAGCTCTCTCAAACCGATGCCTCTCTCACACTGAGGCGAGCTAACACTGAGGGCTACCTCACACTGAGGCCTTCACACTGAGAGCTCTCTCAAACTGATGCCTCTCTCACACTGAAATGAACTAACACTAAGGGCTACCTCACATTGAGGCCTTTCTCTCACTGAGAGCTCTCTCAAACTGATGCCTCTCACACTGAGGTGAACTAACACTGAGGGCTACCTCACACTGAGGCCTTTCTCTCACTGAGGCCTTCACACTGAGAGCTCTCTCAAACTGATGCCTCTCTCACACTGAGGCGAACTAACACTAAGGGCTACCTCACACTGAGGCCTTTCTCTCACTGAGAGGTCTCTCAAACTGATGCCTCTCACACTGAGGCGAACTAACACTGAGAGCTACCTCACACTGAGGCCTTTCTCACACTGAGAGCTCTCTCAAACTGATGCCTCTCACACTGAGGCGAACTAACACTGAGGGCTACCTCACACTGAGGCCTTTCTCTCACTGAGGCCTTCACACTGAGAGCTGTCTCAAACTGATGCCTCTCTCACACTGAGGCGAACTAACACTGAGAGCTACCTCACACTGAGGCCTTTCTCACACTGAGGCCTTTCTCTCACTGAGGCCTTCACACTGAGAGCTCTCTCAAACTGATATCTCTCTCACACTGAGGCGAACTAACACTGAGGGCTACTTCACACTGAGGCCTTTCTCTCACTGAGGGCTACTAAGCTATAGGCGCACCTGCTTCTATAGAAATGCAGCTTTTGCTGAGTCTTTGCATCCATTTAACCCTTTCACTGCTTGACACATTTTTGTAATTAAAAATACTGAGTTAATTTATAATATTTCTGACAATTACTACTTGTCTTCCTTTAACAGCAGTCAAATCTGCAGGTGTGATTTTGGTATTATTTGGTAATATTTCTGACGCACAAACAGGCAAACATTCAGTGTCTCTAATATAGTGGAATAACGATGACATACAAATACACAGACAAAGGCAAAGGCTTCCCCTTTCATTTCCGGCTCAACTCCAGCCATGGAGAAGTGCTCTTTCTCCATTTCCAAGCTGAGGACCCTGTTGTTCATAGACTCCTCCTGGTCATGTTTGGTTGCATGGGTGCCTTTAGGAAGCCCTAAATGCGCCCATGCGCCTTGGTTTGATGTCCGTTGTGGTTCAAGCTTCCTTCGCCTCACTTAAAGCAAACCATGGTTTGGTACGATGTGTAGAATCAGTCGATATCTGCACATTTGTGCTTTCAGTAACGGAACCTCCTGCCGGAAGGATCCTCTGAACCACTTGCATGTGTTTATATGTCCTTTCCCTTCCTTGCATGACCTGCTTTCGTCTTCTCTTGTGGGCGTTCATCTCTCCCCTTTTTTCCCCTTTCTCTTTCTCTCTCTCTCTCTCCCTCCCGTCTTCCTTCCTCCACTTGGTCCCGATCAGGTGTCTCCCGAGCCGTTAAGTATGTAAATGAATTCCTGGCGCCGGCGTTGTGCACTCAGGTAACTTGCGGTGCCGCTCAAGACGGGCGCTCGCTCCTCCGTTGCATGGCCTTTGGAACTAACTTTGGGGCAGGCATTCTTAGACGATGGCTCCTTCCCATGACCTTTTATGAGTCATTCAATGCTTGTATATACACACGGTGAGGCCTTCTCTCACAGACTAAGGGCTACCTCACACTGAGGCCTTCTCTCACAGACTAAGGGCTACCTCACACTGGAAAGTTCTCTCACAGATTAAGGCCTACCTCACACGGTGATGCCTCCTCTCACAGACTAAGGCCTACCTCACACGGTGAGGCCTTCTCTCACAGACGAAGGGCTACCTCACACTGAGGCCTTCTCTCACAGACTAAGGCCTACCTCACACTGAGGCCTTCTCTCACAGACTAAGGCCTACCTCACACTGGAAAGTCTTCTCTCACAGATTAAGGCCTACCTCACACTGGGAGGTCTTCTCTCACAGACTAAGGCCTACCTCACACTGGGAGGCCTTCTCTCACAGACTAAGGCCTACCTCACACTGGGAGGCTTTTCACAGACTAAGGCTTACCTCACACTGGGAGGCCTTTCACAGACTAAGGCCTACCTCACACTGGGAGGTTTTCTCTCACAGACTAAGGCCTACCTCACACTGGAAAGTCTTCTCTCACAGATTAAGGCCTACCTCACACTGGGAGGTCTTCTCTCACAGACTAAGGCCTACCTCACACTGGGAGGCCTTTAACAGACTAAGGCCTACCTCACACTGGAAAGCCTTCTCTCACAGACTAAGGCCTACCTCACTGTGAGGAACTAACTTTGGGGCAGGCATTCTTAGATGATGGCTCCTTCCCACGACATTTAATGAGAGATTTAAAATGGTTGTTCTTTGTCTGTGTGAATAAACCCCTTCAGCACCTCATGAAGCAAGAGCACGCTCCAAACTCTGCTTCTGTCATCTTCTCTCTCTGAACATCTGCATAGCTCAAGCCTGAACAAAAATGTAACCGTGTCCAAAAGTCCCAGGCTCAGCATTGCCCAACCAATCGGCTTCATGCATTTTATTTTACAGTTGACACACACACACACACATACTGATTCCTTGCATGCTCCAACAGAGAGCACTGTCAATGCAAACAACAATGGATCGACACCAAATTTGGCACGCATACCCAATGCGCAGAAGGAAACAACCATGTTTCGAGGGCTCGGTGGCCGGGGATCTCCATTGCACTTTGGTCCAATCGCCTATTAATGCCTGCTTTGGTCATTTTTGTGTGGGTTGGATCAGTGATTTGATGTGCTTGTTCCTTCCAGGTGTCTCAAAAGCAGTTGAGCACATCAATAAAACTATTGCGCCTGCACTGGTTAACAAGGTAGGAGCATTCCTTATTTCGCTAACCCTTTAACGCGAGCTTCACTCGCTGTCGCTTTTTAAGATCGGCGGCATGGCAAAAAAAGTTCCACGTAGGTTAGAAGCTTTATGTTTTGAGTCGGGTGCATGCACAAGAAATGCAAAATATTGCGCGTTGGAACATGCATCTTGGAGAGTCCTGCTGGAATGATGCTATCGTGCAATAATAGGAACCTGCGACTCAAAAACTGCATGCCGTCTTGATGTCTCAACCTTATATTTTAGCTAAAGACTGATATGAATGTTCTTTGTCCGCGTGAATGAACCCCTTCAGCACATCATGAAGCAAGAGCACGCTCCAAACTCTGCTTCTCTCGTCTTCTCTCTGAACATCTGCATAGCTCAAGCCTGAACAAAAATGTAGCAGTGTCCAAAAGTCCCAGGCTCAGCATTGCCTGCATTTTATTTTACAGTTGATACACACACATACTGATTCCTTGCATGCTCTTAGATGTAACCTTACTTAGATGTTACCAAAAGACTGATATGAATAAGTCGATAGTATAACTGGTCCTACGAAAATAGTTTAGCCATAATAATACTCTGCTTTGGAACCGCAACACTCAGTCCATTGCAAATATATTGCTAATTTTTAAAAATGAACAATTATGAGCTTAAAAAACAGAAATAATAATAATAATAATACACATGTACTCAAGTATAAGCTGATTTTTTTTAGGCTGAAAAAGCCCCCCTTGGCTTATTCTCAAGTCAAAGTTATTTATTATTTTACTGGGTTATTATTATTATTACTACTATATTTATTTTATTATTATCATATTTACATTTCTTTATTATTGTTTTTATTACATTTATTGTTTTAGTCTATGATTATTACATTTATTGTTTTACTGTACTATTATTACATTTATTATTTTATTTTATTTGTTATTGTTATTGCATTTGTTATTTTACTCTATTTTTATTGCATTTCTTATTTTACTCTTAATTATTATCACATTTATTATTTCACTCTATTATTGCTGTTATTACATTTCTATTATTTTACTACCTTATTATTTTACTCTATTATTATTACATTTATTTCACTCTATTATTGCTGTTTTTACATTTCCATTATTTCACTCCATTATTATTATTATTATTATTATTATTATTACATTTATTATTTTACTTTATTCGTTATTATTGCATTTTTTATTTTATTATCACAGTTATTATTTCACTCTATTATTGCTGTTATTACATTTCCATTATTTTACTCTATTTTATTGCATTTCTTATTTTATTCTATTATTATTACATTTATTTCACTCTATTATTGCTGTTATTATATTTCCATTATTTTACTCCATTATTATCA